TCCCCCTCCCCTGCCACTGTCCCTCATTTCCATTTTAGATAAAAATAGCAGGAAATTGTGATGGCAGCAAAAACAGGCCTAGCCTACACATGCAGTGCACTGAGGACATAGAATTCCAAGGTGGTTCAACAGATCATAAAGGTAAAGTTAAAGATAGCCCTGACCATTAGGTCGACTCTGGGGTTACGCACTCATCTCGCTCTATAGGCCGAGGGAGCCGGCGTTTGTCCGCAGACAGCTTCCAGGTCGTGTGGCCAGCATGACTAAGCCACTTCTGGCGAAACCAGAGCAGCGCACGGAAACACCGTTTACCTTCCCGCCGGAGCGGTCCCTATTTATCTACTTGCACTCTGACGTGCTTTCGAACTGCTAGGTTGGCAGGAGCTGGGACCGAACAATGGGAGCTCACCCGTTGTGGGGATTTGAACCGCCAACCTTCTGATCGGCAAGCCCTCGTCCCTCAGCAGATCATAACAGTGCTCAAATTGAAAGGTGTCTCTATGCACAAGGCCCATTCCTTTGACTCATCCCCCCATGGTTCTATTAAATCATGCCCTCCAAGAATGACAGCTAGTCGAGGGGGGCCATGCCTTTTGTATCTTTTCTGCAATTTGAACACTGAATTGTACAATGGACAGCATTATGGGAGGATTTTTTAAAAAAATATATGCTTTTGGGTGGGTGGTGGGAATTTCCATGCAAATAGAAGACTAGCCCTGTAGAGAGCGGGCTAAGTTTACACTTAACCTCCCCCATCTCCCCAAATTGGCATGCTCTGCTTTACTTGCAGAGCGGGTGATCAATAAAAATTGCTTCCCTCAAATTAAATTTTCTGCAGATTAATCTTGTTTTCTACGTGCAGCAGGCTCTGCTTTTGTTTTCGGGATGGAGAACAGCTCACGCAAAACCACACCTGCACTCTGAAGTACTGAAGCTTCAACAGAGACAGAGTGCCTTAGTGAATTTATGGCTCAAGCGATAGGTGACGTTAATCACGTGCACTCCCCCCCCCCATATTTCTCTTTTTTAGCTAATGCAGCTGTTTGGGCTGCAATCTTGAAAAGAAGACCAGCAATTTGGGGGGGGGGGTTTGAGGGAGAAACAGAGAGAGAGAGAGAGAGAGAGAGGAGAGGAAGGGAGGGACGGAGGGAGAAAGCATGCAACAGGCACTTTAACCACTTCATTTGGTGCTTTTCTTTCTCCAGAATTACCCCTCCATGTATAACCTTTTCTCTTTTCCTCCCACTATCATCCAGCCTAAGAACAGCTCCACAGTGATCTGGAAGCTGAAAACCAGAATAAAATATTAAAATGACCATCTCAGCTCCCCTGATGTGGTCTCCCACTAGAGGTTGCAGCTTGTGTGACTGTTATAGAACAAAACACAGAAAATGAGGGCAGGGAGGAAAGTGGACAGCACACTTGCAGACTCTGAGCTCAGTATCACAACCCTATGCATGTTTACTCAGAAGTCTGTATCCCAGGGGGAATATTCCTTAGTAACTGAGTTTAGAAGTGCAATCTTAATCTGCGTTTCCAGAACTATTTTCTACCCTTGCTTTCAGCTATTCGGTTTTTAGGGGAATCTTAAGAAAAAAACACTTCTGAAATAGTTCTGCCCAACTCCAAGATTACACTGTTTCAATTGAGTAGCATCTCAAACACTATCTACAGGTTTGTTTCTTTTGCTATAAAACAATGGAGAGCTTCTGGCCTGCAGTTATTTGCAGATAGGTTTTCCAGATGAAATAGTTTAAATTGTGGCGAAACAGTTTTCTACAACTGTGAAATCCCACTAGCATTTCTGATTTGAACTCAAAAGCTTACCCAATCAAATCACAATTGCTTGGAATGTCTGTGAAGTGATCCATCTATATTACCAGTTGGGACTCTCTTAGCATCAAAGATATTACCTTGGAGAAGATCTGTGTAGTAAACCTGGAGACATGTGGACTTTTTATCTTCCCTTTACCTAGGGGTGGGAAACTCCCCCCCCCCCAATTAATAGTCATTTAGTTAATCACGGCCTGCAGCTAACAGTGGGTGGAGTCAAAGTCCCAAATGGGAAGTTTGCAACACTGTGCAGCGCTCTCTCTCTCTCTCTCTCTCTCGTGGTGTCCCTCAAACTTTTTAAATCCACAACCCCATTAACTATCATAAAAACTCCATGCTCCCCCCAAATATGGCTCCCTCAATTATTTTACTTGACTTTTCAAAATGATTGAAATATTGTGACTTTAGTTTTGACTTACTGTATATTGTACATATTTTGGGGAAAACACTCAGGCCCTTGCTGAAATCTTCATATACACACCTCCTTCGGTGGGTGGGTGGGCGGGCCTCATTGGATGAGAAACACAGTTGCAGAGTCTAAATCATAATATTTTTTAAAAAGGCACTCTACCTGCAGCCTGAAGTAGTCCAATTCATGCTACCTCTTCATTCTGCCAAATGCATAGGTGTATGAACAAACCCTTTTTAAGATAACACTATAGTAACGTAGGGACGCGGCTGGCGCTGTGGGTTAAACCACAGAGCCTAGGACTTGCCAATTGGAAGGTCAGCAGTTTGAATCCCCGCGGCGGATTGAGCTCCCATTGCTTGGTCCCTGCTCCTGCCAACCTAGCAGTTTGAAAGCACGTCAAAGTGCAAGTAGATAAATAGGTACCACTCCGGCAGAAAGGTGAAGGGCATTTCCGTGCGCTGCTCTGGTTCGCCAGAAGCGGCTTAGTCATGCTGGCCACATGACCCGGAAGCTGTACACCGGCTCCCTCGGCCAATAAAGCGAAATGAGCGCCGCAACCCCAGAATCGGCCACGACTGGACCTAATGGTCAGGGGTCCCTTTACCTTTATAGTAAGGTATACTTTCTTTGTCACAAAACACAAGCACATTCCCAAGGATAGTGAATACGATTGATGAGTGGGGAAGAGAGAGAAAGCTGGGCTGCAAAGAATCCTATTAGCTATCAGCAGTGTTCCAAGGTTTCGTTATTGACATGTAAATCCCTAAACAACGTGGGACCAGAATATAGTGGTACCTCGGAAGTCAAACGGAATCCGTTCTGGAAGTGCATTCGACTTCCAAAACGTTTGGAAACCAAACCAAACCAAGCTCCTGCAGCCAATTAGAAGCCGTGTCGGACGTTCGGGTTCCAAATAACGTTCGCAAACCAGTTTGCAGCGTTCAGGAGCTAAAATGTTCGACTCGCAAGGCGTTCGGGATCCAAGGTGTGACTGCACCTAGCAGACTGCCTCTCCAGGTACCTGAGGCCAAGGAGACTGTGACCAGCAGGTTGTCACTCAGTGACAATGCAGACACAAGTCGTCTTGGAGATAGCAACCCACACTATGGAATATTTTCCCTCAGGTAATTTGTGAGGCAGAGGCGAAGCTTGTCTTTACCCAAGCTTTCCCGGTGGCATTTTATTATTTTCATTTTCTAGACTGCTCACTTTTGCTTGTTATTTTGCTTCAATATTATCTTTAGGAAATTTTATTTAATGCTGCTATTTCATTAGCTTTTTGTAAACTGTATAGAGGTTATTTTTTTTTATTCTATTATGTGCTGGGATTGCTTTATAAATAAAATGGGGGAACATGACAAGGATTATGCAAGAAGAAAACACCTACCTGTTCATACTTAGCACAGACTGCATTCCCCTTCTACCTGCATGCCCCTTCTACCGAAAACAGCCTACCCACCTGTCCATTATGTCAAGAAGAAAAAAAAAACAGGACCCTTCAGTACAGTGGTACCTTGGTTCTCAAAAGCCTTGGTACTCAAACAACTTGGAACCCAAACACTGCAAACCCGGAGGTAAGTGTTCTGGTTTGCGAACGTTTTTCAGAAGCCGAACGTGCTCCGTTTTGAGTGTTACGCTTCCAATTTGAGTGCCACACTTGTTTTGAATGTTATGCTGAGGTCTGTTTGTTTTTGCTGTTTATTTTGCGTTTTTGCGGCTCTTTTTTCTTTTGTTTTTGTGACTGTGTGGAACCCAATTCAGCTACTGATTGATTGTGTGACTGCAGTACATTGTTTATTGCTTTCATTTTATGGATCAGTGGTCTTGTTAGATAGTAAAACTCATGTTAAATTGCTGTTTTAGGGGTTGTTTTTAAAAGTCTGGAATGGATTAATCCAATTCAAATTACTTTCTATGGGAAAGCGAGCCTTGGTTTTGGAACGCCTTGGTTTTGGAACGGACTTCCAGAATGAATTAAGTTTGAGAACCAAGGTACTTTTCCACACAACCCCCCCCCACACACACACCCAATGCTGCAGCCCCAAGTGTCAGGAAACATTTTTGTTTTGTTTTTGCACAATACATAGTATGAGAACTTGTAAGCAAAACAGACTTGCCACACAAAAAGATACATTTTATTTCAATTCTCTCTCTAAATACAGTTTGGCAGGATCAGTTTTTCACAGGAGCAAATGTATTAAAAAATATTTCATTCCAAAATACTACTCTCTGAGGTAATATTATAGGCACTTTCGAGTAGACATAGTTAGGATTCTGTTGCAAGGCACATATATCTGCCCCCTTTTAAAAAATAAAAATCTTTGATCACTGATCTCCGTCTAAAAATTCTAAGGAAAAAGTAATTACGTAACTGAAACCCAAATCTTTTTAAAAAAAATAACATTAAAAATAAACCATATAAATCAAAATGTCAGTACTGACAAAGAAAAAAACAGACGTGTATTTGAGGTACCGTATTTTTCCGTGTATAAGACTAGGTTTCCCCCCTAAAAAATAATGTCAAAAATTAGGCGGAGTCTTATACATGGGGCCATCTCCCCCCATTTTCTTAAATCTAAGTCCCCCAAAATAGGACTTATACATGGGGGCATCTTATAGGCGGAAAAATATGGTAATTTAATGGGCAATTCTAGCCTGGTGTCCTCTGCTTAAGTCAATGAGCTTTCATACCAAATGATTCTATGGGCTATTCTTTGGGTTTCAAAAAGTAACAGGATGTAGGATCAAGTTTTCCTTTTGGGGAATGAAGGCCTAACTCATAGGCACCCCAAATCAGTGCAATTTACTTGTTGTATTCACTGGTGCATGGGTTTTAAGGGAACCCAACCCTTGGAAAGTTTGGAACATGGATACCTCAGAAAAGGAAAATGCCAACATGATCTAAGCCAATATGGGGGTTCACAGTGCCACCAAAAGGAGTAAATGTCCTTCTGCAAATTTATGGTGAATTGATTCTTTGAAAAAAGACATGTTCCACGCTAATCTAGATGCACTTCTTACGAAATACATCTCACTTTAATCACTAGGGTTTTCATTCCAAGTAAATGAAGTTAAAAATTGGTGCAGTTATTCCTACAAAACGTCATATATTCAGGAAGTTATAGACTGAGAGTATTTTAAACAAGAGCAAGGATTAGTTATCTTGAAACAGCAAGGTAACTGAATATTTATTGAAAGTTCAACGTGACACCATAAACCGTCACAGTTTGGCATTAAACTGACCCATCAGTCTTTCCAACTTGATTGCTAAGGCCATATCACCCTTGATTGCCAGCTTTCCAGACATGAAAGCCAGGGTTGGCTTCAGTTTGCCTGAAAAGAGAAAAAAAAATGGTTTAAAGAACCACAAAAGAGTTGCAAATTGCAGTGCTTCTGCCATGTTTTTCAGTTAAGCAACCTCTCTACTCTTAAGACCAACAATGACATGGATAGCTTTAAATGTGATGTTGCCACTTCCTGTTTTCATAAAAAAGTACGGCATTACAGGTAACTTATTTAAGGCATGACCGATATGTTTGCAATTGCGCACAGCGCTGAACCCAGAAGTGACCCAGAAACGTCATAACGACGTCACTGAAACGTTTTAATAAAGTTTTGTTTTTTAAAAAGGACTATGCTGAAATGGCAAAGTTAACAGCTAAACCAAGAGAACCTAACAATGACTGGTTTGTGGAGGAATGGAAGCCTTTTTCGGACTACTTAAGGAAATGGTACTGTACGATGAATTCACGAGCAGGATTTGAATTATGAACAACAGAAGAAATGAGAGAATATATTATTGTTGTTATGGTATAAGTGATAGAAGGTAGGGTGCAACAGAAGGAGAGGAATAAAACCGCCATGGATAATGAGGTGGGGAGTAAAACAAAAAGAGAGAGAGAGAGAGAATTATTATATATGTTAAACAGCAGAAAATTTAATAAAAATAATTATTTTTTAAGAAAGACGTCACTGAAATGTCACTAAAAGGATGGAATGGGGGCGGGGTGGAACAGAGCTTTGTCAATGGGTTTCCGATTTCACGCAAGTGCACAATGACCCGGAATGTAACCCCCGTGCAAACAGGAAGTTGCCTGTATTCTCATTCCAGGTGAGTAACTATAGGGTCACATGTGTGGTGAGGAAGCAAGATCATGCTTGTATGACAGTCACACATTGTCCAACAGGCCCCCCCAAAAAAGAGGCTCTGCACCCCACCCCCCAAAATCGGGGCTTTCCTGCTTTGACTTGAACCCCCCACTGCCAGTTTTTAAGTAGATCGAGTAGATCGCAGTCTTGCCGCTTTCTGTGCCGCATAGACCTCCCCACACCTCATGGATTCTTGTGCACTTTTACATGTGAGGAAGCTCCTGTCAGCTCAGTGAAACTTAGTAAACATGCATTTGATTAAACTGCACCAGCCCTGATGATCTGCATCATCCTACCACTTGCTAACTTTACATGGGGGGAGCAGGTTTGTTGTAAAATGGTGGTGGTGAAATGGTGAAGGACTTGTTGGTATCCCAAATGTGGAATATTTCCACCAACACTCTTCTCTGCTAGCTCACTTCTAACGCTTCCCGTAAATGGCATCCTATCTACAAGCAGAAAAGAAGGTCCTGGACATATAGGAGACTTTGCTAGCGGTTTCTTCTCAAAAGGTAGAATAAAGAAACTGGAATGAAATATATAATTCTACACGCTCCTGAAAATTTATCAAATGCAAGCAGCTCTACGAGCAGACACATTTAAGATTAGCAAAAGTCCAATGGAATAGCTGAGCATGAATACATTTGACTAAATGAAAGGACAGTTGTTCCCAATACCTACCTGAAAACATTTTTACGAAGTCAGTGCTGGACATGCTCATAACCACATCAACTTTTCCTGGTGGTTCTCCGCTTCCTACACTGCCACCTTTGTTCTTAAGATCAATATACCATGCTCCTCCTCCTTCACCTAACACAAGAGTAATGCCACATAAAATTAGACACATTCGTTTCTAAGCTGAACAAATGTCAGATAGGCAGCAAGAGCCAATTAAGTCTTTCCAAGAGTTAATGATCCACTGAAATCAGTAACTGGAAGTCCAGTGATTTCAGTGGGTCTTTCCCAGAGTATGACTAATGTTGGATACCACCCTCTGAAGTTTAAAATCAGTTTCATTATAATCTTTTACAGTGGTACCTCCAGTTACAAACTTAATTCATTCCGGAGGTCCATTCTTAACCCGAAACTGTTCTTAACCTGAGGCGCGACTTCCACTCGCATGCCAGGGCAAAGTTCACTACCGGAGCATCTACTTCCGGGTTAACAGAGCTCGTTACCCGAAGCGTTTGTAAGGAGGACGGTACGTAACCCGAGGTTCCACTGTGATGACATTTCTTTCCCTTAATAACGGCACTATGCTGCCCTGTAACTTCCACTGCCAACCCAGCTTATTCTAACCACTAGAGAAAGAGATTGACTGGCACCTTTAAGAACAGTAGCACACCTGGTAGTAAACAAAACTTTTGTCCCATTCATCACAAATGACTTTCGCTCAATTTTGGTGTAATTGCTGTTTTGTTGTAACAACCACATCCCTGTTTTTATGTAGATGCCCAACCTCTTCTCTGTGTGCCCATGTGAACATTCACACAGGGACGCGGACTTATAAAAAATATTGGGGGGCCCCGGGAAAGCTCATGAATAATAAATAAGCTCATGAATATGCAAATAAAGTGGCTCCGGCCCTAAATAGGGCAAGCCACGCCCCCCAGCCAGCCAATCGGCTGGCTGGGAGGTGTGGCCAGTCGGGATTCCCCTGTTCTCGCGGGGGCCAGGAGGAAGGAAATTCCCCCCGGCAGTGCCTTGGCAGTGGCGGTGGTGCTGCGAAGCAGTGAGGCAGGAGCCCCCGCCCCCGGGGATTCCCTAATCTCGCGGGGGACGGCCGGGGCTCTCCGACTAGGGCGCGCGGCTGGCTGGCTGGCTGGCGAGGGAGCAGGTGGGGAGGAGGCGGGGGACGGCGGCGGCGCTCTGCTGGAAGGGCGCCCGAGATTATTGGGGGGGCTGAGCCCCCCCAAAAAATTTTTTGAGGGGGCTCGAGCCCCCTCAGGCCCCATGGAGTCGGCGCCTATGCATTCACAAATAAAACATACCCGTGTTTGTGTTAAGTAGATTGCCATATTTGTCTTTTCAAAATATTTCAGACAGCACCAAGTGTGAATTATTTGAAAACTGCCACCACTATAAAGGTGTTTTGGCATCTTTTCTGCAAAGTACATGTGGTGGTACTATTGGTATGCAGGCCTCTTGCCTTAGCAGTGATCCTAGGCCCGCCCAACATAATTTCAGTAACTCTTAAACAGGTATAAAGATTCTTACCAGATAATTCAAACCGATAAATTCCTTGGGTTGACTTTACAACTTCGTCACTGATCGCAGCTTTTATAATTTTAAAAGTTTCTGCTACAGGCCCCCCTGATTTCTCGGCAGCAAAATGCACGTGAAGCTTTCCTCTGTCAGGACCTTCAGGTTTAGTTTTGTCAGGACCTTCATGCTTGGGAAGGTCTTGTTTTTTCCCTTCTCTGAAGGTTGGAGTAGCTCCTGTAGGACCAACATTGACCAATGGAGTCAACAGTTACAATAGTGTGCACTCAGGAACTCATATCAAACAAGGAGAAAAAGGTTGGTGGTCCTGAGCACTAAAGCAGGGAAAATACTGGAGCAAGGAGTCATAGCTTGGGGGTAGGGAACATGTTTTTTTATGCAGGTCTCACGTTCAATCCACAGCAAAAATGACCAATCAGTGAGCCTTTCCCTTGGAGCCTTTCCCAGTGAGCCAGACTGGTGACTGGGAGCGGCCGCCGAGACCATATAACACCAGTCTTGAAAGATCTACATTGGCTCCCAGTATGTTTCTGAGCACAATTCAAAGTGTTGGTGCTGACCTTTAAAGCCCTAAACGGCCTTGGTCCAGTATATCTGAAGGTCTCCACCCCCATCGTTCTACCCGGACACTGAGGTCCAGCACCAAGGGCCTTCTGGTGGTTCCCTCACTGCGAGAAGCCAAGTTACAGGGAACCAGGCAGAGGGCCTTCTTGGTAGTAGTGCCCTCCCTGTGGAACGCCCTCCCACCAGATGTCAAAGAGAACAACAACTACCAGACTTTTAGAAGACATCTGAAGGCAGCCCTGTTTAGGGAAGCTTTTAGTGTTTGATGTATTGCAGTATTTTAATATTTTTTTGGAAGCCGCCCAGAGTGGCTGGGGAAGCCCAGCCAGATGGCCGGGGTTTAAATAATAAATTATTATTATTATTATTATTATTATTATTATTATTACTACTACTACTACTATTATTATGTTTGAATGTGATGGAATTCAAGAGAAGAGACATTTAACATTCACCTGGTGCTATACCAGCTGCACTGGCTCTTGGTGAAGTACAGGATCAGGTTCAAGGTGCTGGTTTTAACCTTTAAAGCCCTATACGGCCTAGGACCCTCGTACCTACGGGACCGCCTCTCCTGGTATGTCCCACGGAGGCCCTTACAGTCTTCAAATAAAAACATCTTGGAGATCCCGGGCCACAGGGAGGTTAGGCTGGCCTCAACCAGAGCCAGGGCTTTTTTGGCCGTGGCCCCGATTTGGTGGAATGCTCTGTCACAAGAGACTAGGGCCCTGTGGGACTTGACATCTTTCCACAGGGCCTGCAAGACAGAGCTGTTCCACCAGGCCTTTGGCTGAGGCACAGTCTGACCTCCTCCTTTTGTAAGCCTCACAGAACTCTAGCCCAATGGTTGCCATTAATTTGACTCTGAATTGATTTTAGAATGAATAGATTTTAGAATGTATTTCAATTAAATGATTATGATTTTATGTAAACTGTGTTATTTTTTACTGTTGTTAGCCGCTCTGAGCCTGGCTTCGGCTGGGGAGGGTGGGGTATAAATAAAATTTTATTATTTATTATTATTATTATATTTCCATAATCGCAGAGAATGTTAGATAAGTAAGTTTGGAAATCATTGTCTAGTTAAATATGACCTCCCAGCCTCTTTGTAGGGTTGTCATGTGCCTTGGAATTAAAACAAACAAACAGAAAAGTCTAATGGGGAAGGGGAACATTTGCAAACTTGAAATGAAACAAAACTGTTATAAAAGTATGGATTTTTTAAAAATTGGCATCTGTATTTTTTATGTAGAGCTGTTGCTGCAATTCTCGTTACACAATATGAGTGAAATATACAACACCTGTGATTCGTGAAGCCCTGTCAATTAACAATGGGTACTTCTGTTCTATTTGCTTGGCACGGAAAGGTCTGCAGCCAGGAAAACTGTTCAGGTGGAGCGTAAGAGGCTTAGTTCTGACCTCCGATTTTAGGCCCAACAACATCTGGGTGGGGTGGAGGCAATTATGTGCTTACCTTGTGCTTCCATTTTCATTGCTAGTGTTTCGGGATCCACATCTAAAAAGAAGTCTGGTAGCAAAGGATGACCTAAAAATAGAGTGAAACAATAAATGGAAAAGTCCGTATTTTGTATAGCAGAATAACGCTATGCAGTTAAATAGATGTAAATGAAAGGCTGAGGGCATATCCACATCTTAGCTATTGGTGTTTCCTAGTACAACTGAAGCACAAACATGAAGACAGACTTAGGACTTTACATTATACGTAAGATACCAGAGTACACTTATTGTGTCATAAATGGGACATCTGGGAAGACTTAATACATTCATGGTATTGCAAGCAAAAAATACATGGATTACGGCTATATATTTGTAGTCCGGCAAATACGAATGCAATATGCAAGAAAATAAATCTAGATTACCTGGGGCAACCGCATATACATCAAAATTCTGAATTCCTTCTTCTCTCAATAAAGTTTCATCAATGACGAAGTTTCCGGTGAAAGTTTTGGGCTTTGTTAAAATGCAGTATGCGGCATCTGCAAGTATATCTGTTTTCCTGCACTGTTTCTCTACACCAGCTCCTCCCAGCATATCCATTGCAGAGGTATATATAGCTAAAGACACACACACAGGAGAGAAGGGATAAGTTAGCAATTATTTTACTGCATCATGCAAGGGGTGAACTAGATGGCCTATACGGACCCTTCCAAGGGTATGGTTCTAGACCAGGGGTTGGCAACCTGAGGCCCATGGGCCGGAAGAGGCCCATGGAGGCTGTTTAACCGGCCCACAAGCCACCCTCAAACTGAGCCACCCGCTGATCTATAGCACTGTCTGCCAACAGCCTTTAGATCAGGGGTCAGCAAACTTTTTCAGCAGGGGGCCGGTCCACTGTCCCTCAGACCTTGTGGGGGGCCGGACTATATTTTGAAGAAAAAAATATGAACGAATTCCTATGCCCCACAAATAACCCAGAGATGCATTTTAAATAAAAGCACACATTCTCCTCATGTAAAAACACACTGATTCCCGGACCGTCCGCGGGCCGGATTTAGAAGGTGATTGGGCCGGATCTGGCCCCCAGGCCTTAGTTTGCCTACCCATGCTTTAGATATCTGAGGTGGTGGAAGGATCGGTAAAGATTTAAAGTTTATAAAATCTTGAAGTCTATCCATTGCAGATAATGGGCCAGAAATGTTTAATATTCCATGGAACCGTCACATTCTCTCTCTCTGACCTTGTTCACACATAATGCTAAGCCAAACAACTACTTAACAAGAAACAGCAAGTGTTCAGGTACAGAGAGCCAATACTGTGGTTGCTTCACTCCTCCTCCGATACGGCTGCTAGTAGCATTACCTGGAGCCAAGCCATGTGCAAATGCAGACACATGGCAGCCACTATTTTCACCCAAAAGCTTGGGACGCGAGTGGTGCTGTGGGTTAAACCACAGAGCCTAGGGCTAGCCGATCAGAAGGTCGGCAGTTCGAATCCCTGCGATGGGGTGAGCTCCCGTTGCTCAGTACCAGCTCCTGCCAAACTAGCAGTTCGAAAGCACGTCAAAGTGCAAGTAGATAAATAGGTACCGCTCCAGCAGGAAGGTAAACGGCGTTTCCGTGCACTGCTCTGGTTCGCCAGAAGCGGCTTAGTCATGCTGGCCACATGACCCAGAAGCTGTACGCCGGCTCCCTCGGCCAATAAAGCTAGATGAGCGCCGCAACCCCAGAGTCGTCCGGGACTGGACCTAATGATCAGGGGTCCCTTTACCTTTACACTCAAAAGCTTACAGTACTTGTTCTCACTAAGCCATAGTTTGGCTTAGCATTAGGTGTGAACCAGAACACACACACACACCGTTCTCTTTACATATGTATTAACTGGGCTGCAGATTAGGTTTTCATTGTATGAGCAAACTGAAACTATGCAGCAAAATATGAATTTCTGAGAATACCAAGCATAAAAATTATCCCCACAGCACCCATAGCAGACTTCTGTCTGAATTTACATAAGAATTATGAAAGTGCTCTCTGCTGAACATAGGGACATTATATTCACACAAAAATGTCACCCCAGGGAAATTATAAGGGAAGGTAATCTTCCTGTGACTGCTCTGGTCCTTCTCCACCTCCTCCTGATGGCAGATGTGTAAATTTCCCCAGTTAAGTGTTAAAATAACGGGCTAGTTAATAGTAGTAACACAAACTCAGATCTGCTATAGGGGACGCGGATGGCGCTGTGGTCTAAACCACTGAGCCTCTTGGGTATGCCGATTGGAAGGTCGGCGGTTCAAATCCCCGCAACGGAGTGAGCTCCAGTTGCTCTGTCCCAGCTCCTGCCAACCTAGCAGTTTGAAAGCACACCAGTGCAAGCAGATAAACAGGTACCGCTGTGGCGGGAAGGTAAACGGCATTTCTGTGCGCTCTGGTTTCCATCATGGTGTTCCGCTGCGCCAGAATCAGTTTAGTCGTGCTGGCCACATGACCTGGAAAGCTGTCTATGGACAAACACTGGCTCCCTCGGCCTGAAGCGAGATAAGCGCTGCAACCCCATAGTTGCCTTTGACTGGACTTAACTGTCCAGGGGTCCTTTAGCTTTTTACCTTTTACTGTACATATACTGTTAACCTAAGGCTTTGGTCCTATATGCACTTAGTTGAGAGTAGTGTTAGTATTGTATTGTCTCATTCTCACATTGCATAATGTTGTGGGTTGCCTTTAATTACTTAATTGATGTATGAGTTGGGAACTATTTAAAAGTCTCCTCCCTCTCTCTGCTCTCTCTGCTTCCTTTGCTGAAGAAGATGGATGTGAGAGTCGTCTAGTTGTTTTGTTATTTGCTTTATAAATAAAACCTTTGATGTTACTATTCCAACCAAAGTTGCTTGGCTGCGTTCTGCTGTAAAGGACGGGCGTTTAATGCTCACAAGTAGGTTCCACTGGAGTCGATGGAATATGTTCCCAAGTAAACATGCATAGAATTGGGTTGCATCTCAAATAAATAACTATTTTGAAAAAGGTTAATGTCAGTGTGTCAGCTTTACAGTGTCAGATGGGAGCAGCTCAAGCCAGAGCAGCGGTTCTCAAACTTTCTAACCCCAGAACCTAGCTGGGAGGGTTGAAAATTACTAAGTCCCACCTGTCACAATATGGCGGTGCAGGGGCAGACTCACTGTTTGAGAAACACTGTCAAAAACAATGTAAATGATAACAATAACAATAACAATAATAATAATACATATGCTTCAGAAGTCTCGAATATTGAAGGGAAACTGTATATACACTTTAAACAAATGCAAGACATCATATTCTCTGAACACATTGGAACAAGAGTTAAGCTCAGTGAACCCATCAAAAACATTATATATTTTTTAAAGATATATAAACCTGTTTGAGGCCATAATGCATTGACTGCAACTTCTCCTCTAAATTCTTCTGCCATTCCCAGCACGCACATGGACATTCCATATTTAGAAATTGTGTAAGCTAGAATAAGATGGAAAACTAGATTTAGACATCAAAAATGTTTCCTCCTATATGCAGTACGAATTGTTCATATTTCAGCAGAAAACTCTTATAGCTGGATAGAGGATTGCCAAGAAAGAGACAAGCGTTTGGTTGGCTGTTAGGGGAAACAGAATGCTGATGTAGAGCAAGGATTCCATTATGTTCTTATCTAAATTACGGTTGTTTTTTCCAAACAGTTTCACAATCTGAATGTTGTAAAAAGATCAATTACCTCATAGTCCGACAATGCATTGTGTGAAAAGGACAATGGGACACCTTGCGTCAAAGAACATCACGGAACCCTGGTTTTGTAAGTAGTGTTAGAGGATTGTCGCTAATATCTGGGCTTGATGTACAACGCGGGAGAAGGGACTGTAGCTTAGCAGAATAGCGCATTTTTCGCATGCAGAAGGCTCTTATTTAAAAGGATCAGGCAGCAGGTTGTTATAAGAATTTTAAGGTCTCAAATACAGAATAAATATTCATAAATGCACACATATCTAAATATATGAACCATGTGTCTGAAATAGTATGGCTATAGAGCAATCCTGGAGCCATTTTGACTCTTCCCAATGACCTCAAATATTCCTCTGCAGTAAGGGAGGCAAATGGGGAAAGCCTTCTCACTGACATTTTTGCTTGCAAATCCTGTCTTCAGGACATTTTTGTGTATGAATAGGGTGAGCCTGTGACCTGGATTCAGGAACTGTATTAACCATCACAAAAGAATGGCCAGACTGCTCAGGTAATGCAATCAGTGACCATTATCCTGGCAGACAGGATTTCTGCTGTAGGCCGCCTCCTCTGCTGTAGACCACCTCCTTCTGTGATATATATATGATGTTTTAGGAGGGTGGTCTTGGGCTACAGGGTGGGCAATTTCAAAAGTCTATATAAGGGCTTGCACACCATTGTTCAGAGTTCTCCTCCCTCCTGCGTGTGGTGAGTGGGAACCCTGTTACAACAGTTAATTTCCTTTAATAAAGATCAGGCATACGAACCAAGCCGCTTTGCTTCTCAAGATACTCTGTTGGCCTCTGTTTTCTTCTAATGGGAACCCATTTAAGGACTCTATACGGGCTTCGGAATATCCCATAAGGGAAAGGGAGCAGTTTTTTTCTTATAATGGTAGAAGGGAAAGATTATCTGCCCAAGATCTAGGGAAGCTGCCGCCAGTTAAAACTGACATTACTAGGTGAAATGGACAAATAAGTCAGATAGCTTCCTTTGTCTCCCTCACACCAATGAGAATCTCTTTCCTACCTTTGTATCTAATGCATGATCTCTCCTCCCCCCCGCCCCCCCCCCTTATCTCACATTTCGGCCTCTTTTCATGTATTGATAGCAACAGCCCTGCTATAGTGAAGGAGCTGAGAAACTGCTTTCTGAAGTGGCTTAAATCAGATTAAAATTTAAAAATAAACACAGGAACCACTTGAGTTCCAAGGGCCACCGGTTGGCCATTCCTGTTGCACATGAGCACCTGATTGAGAAATAAAGCTTGCCCTTGACATCCAGCCATGACCTAGGAATTATTTCTGCGGAACGGCATGCAATTAATGGGACGCACCTTCTGTGGCACTGCATGCCTTGTGTTTCCCCCTGGGTGGGGGGGGACATGTTTCTCCAGCTCAGTCCAAAAAAGGAATGCAAGGTGTCACTATATTAGAACTGGACGCGGGTGGCACTGTGGGTTAAACCACAGAGCCTAGGACTTGCCGATCAGAAGGTCGGCGGTTCGAATCCCCGCGACGGAGTGAGCTCCCGTTGTTTGGTCCCTGCTCCTGCCAACCTAGCAGTTCGAAAGCACGTCAAAGTGCAATAGATAAATAGGTACCGCTCCAGCGGGAAGGTAAACGGTGTTTCCGTGCGCTACTCTGGTTCACCAGAAGCAGCTTAGTCATACTGGCCACATGACTCGGAAGCTGTACGCCAGCTCCCTTGCCCAATAAAGCGAGATGAGCGCCGCAACCCCAGAGTCGGCCACGACTGGACCTAATGGTCAGGGGTCCCTTTACATTTTTAAGGACTATTTGGGAATTAAGTAGAGAAGCTGCTGATGTGAACACAAGGTGCAATGATTTAAAGAATATTTCCCCACAAACTTTCAGTATGCAAGTACAGTGTTACCTTGGTTCTCAAACGCCTTGGCACTCAAACACCTTGGAACCCAAACACTGCAAACTCGGAAGTAAGCGTTCTGGTTTGCGAACCTTTTTCGGAAGCTGAACATGCTCCGTTTTGAGTGCCACACTTCCGTTTTGAGTGTTACACTGAGGTCTGTCTGTTTTTGCTATTTATTTTGCATTTCTGCGGCTTTCTTGCTTGTTTTTGTGGCTGTGTGGAACCCAGTTCAGCTACTGATTGATTGATTGTGTGACTGCAGTACATTGTTTATTGCTTTCATTTTATGGATCAATGGTCTCGTTGGATAGTAAAATTCATGTTAAATTGCTGTTTTAGGGGTTGTTTTTAAAAGTCTGGAACGGATTAATCCGTTTTGCATTACTTTCTATGGGAAAGTGCACCTTGGTTTTGGAATGCTTTGGTTTTGGAATGGACGTACAGAATGGATTAAGTTTGAGAACCAAGGTACCATTGTAGAGGAAAAGAAGGGGTAGAAGAGAGACAGCCTTTACACTTCCTTGAGTTTGGAAGAATTTCACTATAAATGAGCATTTAAAATTATACTTACCACAGTGATTTTTGAACCAGATAGGGTTTAGGTTAATTGGTGGGCTGATATTGAGGATATGGCCAATCTTACTCTTCTTCAAATAAGGGAGGCATATTTTAGATCTGGAGAAGCAAATAAACACAAGGGAATAGAGTCAGATTTGCTTGTACTTATATCATGAGCTCTGGTCAGATTTTGGTTTTCATGTGTGTTTCTCTCACTCACACACACACACACACACACACACACAACTGGCCCTTTCATATACAGTCTGGGACTTACAGAAGGCATAATTTTTTATTATGTTTCCATCCCACTTATGAGTTTAATTAAATTAATAAATAATAAATAAAACACCCAGAAGTCAATCACTATGAAGGTTATTAGTAAGAGAGGTGGGTGTGTTTAAACTCTCTGCTATTAAACCCAATGGGATTTCAAAAGGGCATAACTTTGGGCTCAATAATTCCCTTTAGAAATAATGGTTTTTTAAAAAAAGTAATGTAAAAAGCGGGGGTGTGGAAGCGCCATACACACTTCTGAGCCATGTATCGAGATAAAGTATCTGGCTGCAACCCAGTTAATGGCTGAATTCTGTTCGACTTCTGAGGTACGACTGTATATGAGTGTCATGCTGTCCGATTGCTCCAGCTTCACTTTTCGCTTGGTGAGAACAAGATCAACAAACCAGGAAGCCTCAGCCTCATGCTACATCCAAACCAGCGATTGTGGTTTATTGTGCCCCAACAATGCAAACGTGATCACTACCCAACTTGAAGCCATGGTTTGCCATCGGTTTGCTGATTGTGACTTCTTAGAGAGCAACCAGCCACAATCTCTGGTTCAGACTTTATGCAAAGCCACAGTTTCTTGCTTTGTTTACTTCACCTGCAGAGCTGCAAAGCAGAAGTAGCCAGGCAGCGAGCATCGAAGCATGTTGCTCTTTCCAGATAAACCACAAAAAGCTGGAAGTCCTGGCTTACTGTGTGCAAATGCAGCCACAATCAAAACAGTATCAAATTACCGTATTTTTTGCTCTATAAGACTCACTTTTTCCCTCCTAAAAAGTAAGGGGAAATGTGTGTGCATCTTATGGAGCGAATGCAGCCTGCGCAGCTATCCAAGAAGCCAAAACAGCAAGAGGGATCGCTGCTTTCACTGTGCAGTGATCCCTCTTGTTGTTCTGGCTTCTGAGATTCAGAATATTTTTTTTCTTGTTTTCCTCCTCCAAAAACTAGGTGAGTCTTATGGTCTGGTGCGTCTTATAGAGCGAAAAATACGGTACTCTCTTTGGAAAGGCACTTCTCTCAATAACTCAAATAGCTATTTTCCTCATTTAACGTATTGCAGAATTAAGAGCAAAAAAACCCCCCAAGATATTCCCCATAAACGAGAATTGGAACTATCAAAACTGCCTGCTGGTATTGGTCAGAGATAATGCTACTAAGCAAATAATATATGGAGAAAAATGTCTCTCCCACCAAGAAACCAGTGGACCCAATACATCTGAAGCATATCATCAAAACATTCCTCTACATGTTATACTGTCAAAAGCATTTGCTTTCCTGGAGAATTTTGCATGAAGTTCTCTTTTAAAGAAATACATGTTTACAGCTATAAAGGCACATTTTAATGAAACGTAATTAAAAAGATGAGCAGGGTTAGTAAAAGATATGCCCTGAGCTTCTAGGCTTTCTAGTCAACCAATGAATTTAAGCCATGAGTGATCTTAATAATTAAAGGTGTCAAGGCACAGCTCTAGGGCAAGAGTAATAAGACGCAAGAGTTTGCTGAGGACTGCTTCAATGGAATGTTTCAAAGTTGAAAAGGCTCTGTTTTCTGAGCAAATTCTCACAAAAGGAATACTGAAATTCATGGATCAAGTTCTCCATTTAGCATGTCAGTCTTGGATGCCAGTTAAAACTGCCAGATATAGCCTCATGAAACAAACAGTGTCTACATGGCTACATTTCCCCACAACCAGCTCCATACTTCTCAGTAATTTCAATTTCATTAGGGTGGAAATGCTTTTTATCTCTGCAGATGGCAGAACAAATGAAAGTAGTTCTATAGGAGCTACAGGAATGCCTTTACAGACAACCCTTAGGCAAGTATTTTCAAGTTCATAAATGCTGTTGAGCCAGCAGCACACTGCAGAAGCAGTTTACAACGCAGTGATAATGATGAAATGTATTTAGAAACCGATATAGAATTAAGAACATAAAACAGAATTAAAAATGTCAGAGATCAGAAATGAACAGGAGGCACTGAACACTCAACCGAACAATATGGCTGTTGCGCGCTTAGCTTCTCTGCGCAAGGGATTCAGACAAGTGGGTGGCCCCACCCATCTTTCAATCATGTGACAACGTAATTGCATTGTGTGACTGCCAAGTGGGTGCCCTACCCACCTGCCAAATTGGGCTTGCAACCTCAATCCTGATAAGGATCTAGCCTAGGAAGCCAAAAGGGGTTCTCTATCCCTGGTTCAGGAAGCATAACCTGGAAGCAGACCAAGCGCCACAACAGAGGCCTTGGGACCAGAAGGCTGTTCCCTATAAAATGTGTAGAAGTCCTGGTATGAGAGTTTACCCGTTGTTCCCTCTCACTGTCAATAATGCCAAGCAGCAGCAGTATAATCTCCATTAACGTCCAAGGGCTAAAAAGAATAGAGACACAGCTTCCTAACCCCTTTACTCAGGGACAGTCAATGTGGCGACCTCCAGGTGTTCTGGACTACAACTCCCATCATCCCCAACCATGTGCCATGCTGGCTGCGGCTGATGGGATGTGTGTTAGAGTACAGCAGCTGGAGAGCAATACGTTGGCTACCTGTGCCTTTCCTCTTCTGCAATAACAAAAATGGCAGCCCAACCTGATGCTCCAGAAAAGAGCATCTTTTTCAGTAGCAGCATCCCAGCGCTTGTGCAAGGAGGAGGAGGAACCTTGCTGCTTGCCCCAGTTCAGTTGGACTTGGTCACAGTGATAAGACTGTTAGGATATTGATGTTCCGTTTCACCTTAAAACAGATGTATGGATTGTTGTATGTCCCATGTCTGTTTACACTCCAACACAGCTTGCTGGGAACTTCTGTTTGCGTGTATAGCTATTGCTTTTACTGCTTGCTCTTGGACATGAAAGGGAGAAGACATGTTTTTTCCTTTGTCCTGATATACGCTGAATAAACTGCCTGTAAATATGCTCTCACGGCCGTCTCTTGCCACTTCTGTCTGCGCAGTGTTATTTACTCTGCTGATTAGAGTGTGCTCCAGCTTCTGAAGCTGCAGGTTGCTGTTTCATGCTGAGCCAAGGACAGGAGATCGCTAGGCTACCGGCTGGTGGGCTGGAGCCAGCTGGGGGCTTGCAAATTGGCCCCGTTCCCTTGGAAGCATCCCAACAAAGACAACTACGATCAGGAGCAAAGGAGACACAGAGAGACACTCAAGAGCAGCAAGGACACTGGGAGGGTAAATAAGTGTAAGGTGGGGCTCACCAGAACAGTATTAAATATCTAGTTGGATCTGAAGCAGACGCTAATTATACAACTAGCAGAACTGTCATCATCGTGACAGATGGGTGTCTGTGGTGGAAGGTCTTGCAATGGTGCCAAATTAATAATAATAATAATAATAATAATAATAATAATAATGTGCAAATGTACACACTGTTCCCCTCTGTTAGGGCCTTCTCATTGTGCAGGGCTCTGCTCACTGCAGTTATGTCTCCAACTGAGCACTTTGTCATTTCTCCCTGGGAAGAAAAGTAACCATCCATGGTTTGTTTTTTAATGCAAGACAGTATACAAGAGGGTACTTGGGGACACTGTGTGGTAGTGACTAGTAGTCATTGCCCCTGGCGACCCCAGCTATTGAGAAGCCAGTCTGATCCTATCTGCACAGCTGCCACCAGGGTTCTGCTTCTTAGCCACTGTGGAGTGTGACAAGACTGTTGAGAACTTGCATATGAAAGAGCATTTAAATTAAGGGGGTGGGACAAAGACACCAACTGCTCTCATATCCACTATGGTAGCACTCTTTGAATACCCTTTTCCTCCTCTCTTACCTGCTAACGCGCAAACATTCTGAGCTCGGCAAAACGAAAGAAAAAGAGGAACATTTTTACGGTGCCAAATTGTGTCTGTCAGCTGAGCATTGCCTAAGAAAGGCCTGTCTTACTGGATATACGGCAGTTGTCAAAAGAAAGCGGGTGGGGCTGCTGAAAGGCTCGACTTGCGCAAGGTCCCCTCTTACTGCACAAGCCTCTGTGCTGCTCCCCCTGAGCCAAGGGAACGGCAGCAGGGCTGGGAATGCGTTTTCTGCACAAGCCCAAGGAAAAGAGCAAGGCAGAAGGAAGATCAACAAATGAAGCAAGACAAAGAAGATAAGAAAAATATCCTTGCTACAAGTTAAGTTCTTAAAGCAAAAGATTTAAGACTCTCTAGGGCTGCGATTACCCAATCATGGAGTATGACCTCTGTACTAGAAACTTGATAATTTCCACAGTACAGCGGTACCTCGGGTTACAAACGCTTCAGTTTACATACGCTTCAGGTTACAGACTCCGCTAACCCAGTGACCATTATAAGATACCATGGCAAACAGGAATCTGCTATAGACCGCCTCCTTCTGTGATGTATGTATGATGTTTCAGGGGGGTGGTCTTAGGCTACAGGGTGGGCAATTTCAAAAGTCTATATAAGAGCTTGCACACCAATGTTCTGGGTCCCTCCTCCCTCCTGCGTGTGGTTGTGAGCACCCTGTTGCAACGGTTATGGTGATAAAGATCAGGCTTACTAGCTGCTTTGCTTCTCAATATTCTCTGGTTGGCCTCTGTTATTTTCTCCTACCGACAGGAAACCTACATAAGTACAGTGGTGCCCCGCAAGATGAATGCCTCGCAAGACGGAAAACCCGCTAGACGAAAGGGTTTTCCGTTTCTGAGTTGCTTCGCAAGACGATTTTCCCTATGGGCTTGCTTCGCAAGACGAAAACGTCTTGCAAGTCTTGCGGGGGTTTTCCGCTCCCCCCCCTTTTCCTAAGCCGCTAAGCCGCTAATAGCCTTTTAGCAGCTAAGCCGCTAAGCCTTTAATAGCCGCTAAGCCGCTAAGCCGCTAAACGCGCTAATCCGCTTAGCCGCTAATAGGGTTGCTTCGCAAGACGAAAAAACCGCTAGACGAAGAGAATCGCGGAACGGATTCTTTTCGTCTTGCGAGGCACCACTGTACTCTACACAGGCTCTTGGGTACTTCATGAGGGAAAAGGAGTGTTTTTTCTTATAGCGATTATCAAATTCAGAATCTTTCTCTCTAAAAGGTCAACAGACTCTAAAGAGTCCAGGATTGTATTTTGCCCATAATGTCTCCAATTTGATCCAGTGAATGAAGAATTACTGAGTATACAGAGCTATTTTTAAAGATTCGTTATCCACAAACACTTACGTGAGGTAGGTTCCTCTTGTGTTGGCACTCATCATTAGGTCCACTTTTTTTGTAGGCGTATCCAGTGTGCCAGTTAAAGAGATAGCACTTGCATTGTTCACAAGAACATCTATCCCTGATTGTTAAAAATAAGACATTTACACATCATAAAAGTCAACCATTTAAAACAACATGCTAATCATTACACAAGGATTAGCCACTTTGAAGGTTGGGGTTCTAAAAAAATATTCAAGCAGGTATATAAACTTTTACAAAATAAATAATTATTTAACACAATTGTTTTGTGATTGAATTAAAAAAAAGACTTTTAAACTGTGTAATTAGTGATTACTACACTCAACATGGGACGCGGGTGGCGCTGTGGTCTAAACCACAGAGGCTAGGGTTTGCCGACCAGAAGGTTGGCAGTTTGAATCCCCGCAACAGGGTGAGCCCCCTTTGTTCGGTCCCTGCTCCTGCCCACCTAGCAGTTCGAAAGCACGTCAAAGTGCAAGTAGATAAATAGGTACCGCTCTGGCGGGAAGGTAAAGGGCGTTTCTGTGTGCTGCTCTGGTTCACCAGAAGCAGCTTAGTCATGCTGGCCACATGACCCGGAAGCTGTGTGCGGACAAACGCCAGCTCCCTTGGCCTATAATGCGAGATGAGCACCGCAACCCCAGAGTCGTTCGTGACTGGGCCTAACGGCCAGGGGTACCTTTACCTTTACACTCAACATAAGCTGCAGAATTTAATTTACCTCCAAATTTCTGGACAGCCTGATCCACTGCATCAACAATTTGCTCTTCTTCTCTGACATTGACAATGCATGCTAAAGCCTTTCCTCCAGCTGCTTCAACTGCAAAAGAAGGGCATCACTTAAGTCAAAGAATAGCATACACAAACGAAATACAAGAAGACTTCTTTTTTAATATTTTGTTGGAAGCAGTCCAGAGTGGCTGGGGAAACCCAGCCAGATGGGCGGGGTATAAATAATAAATTTATTATTATTATTATTATTATTATTATTATTATTATTATTATCATCATCATCATCATCACTCTCTGCACGTGAACAGGGCCATGGGTGGGAACTGGCACCGGAAATATCCAAGGCAAGGTTAGTTACTGGATGCAGCTCTCCAAGGTTGCAGCAGATGGTGGCACTCAGATCATAATCTATGCACCTCTCTCTTTCAAGCTTACTTTCTTCTGCAGCAGTGTAGATAGTTCCTGGAAGTGTGCGATGCGGCACTCCAGTCTTGGCAGCTATCACAATATTTGCCCCATCCTTGGCTGCCTTCAAGGCTATCGCTTTTCCAATCCCACGGCTTGCACCCGTGATAAAGAGAGTGCATCCTGCCAACCTCCTAAAAATAAATGATAAGACAAACAGGTATCTTTTAACTACTGGGGGTAAACAGAAGAAAATGCAGGATTAGAATCACCTGAAATTGGCAAAGACCTGAAATTCAGTAGAAAACATGCTCTTAAATTCTATTAACTCGAAACCACAAATAACATGACTATAGCTTTATAATTTACCAAGGCTGGATCTAAAGGTAAAGGGACCCCTGACCGTTAGGTCCAGTCGTGGACCACTCTGGGGTTGCGGCGCTCATCTCGCTTTACTGGCCGAGAGAGCCAGCGTACAGCTTCCGGGTTGTGTGGCCAGCATGACTAAGCCGCTTCTGGCGAAACAGAGCAGCACACGGAAATGCTGTTTACCTTCCTGCCGGAGCGGTACCTATTTATCTACTTGCACTTTGACGTGCTTTCGAACTGCTAGGTGGGCAGGAGCAGGGACCAAGCAACGGGAGCTCACCCCGTCGCAGGGATTTGAACCACTGCCTTCTGATCGGCAAGCCCTAGGCTCTGTGGTTTAGACCACAGTGCCACCTGCATCCCGGGCTGGATCTACACAGCTATAAAAAAATGCTATGGGGGGGGGGAAACATTCTAAAAGCTCACAATAAAAATTATCACTGACTTTGGATTTCGGCTCTACAGAGCCACCTGGTGACACATTGTTATAACGTTATAAATCGACTAGTGTAGCTGAGTCCCCAGTGCATTCTATTTTGCATACATTGACTCAACTTGCATAAGTGAGTTTATACAATTTGTTTTAACTGCCGCATGGTAAGAAAATGATGACATCGTAGCCCACAAGTCACTTCCAGTTCCCAATACTATTCTGATCTTGCCCCTACTCTGTACTTTTCTCAATGCCACTAAGTGCAGGAATGCCACCAGGTATCTCCTCTTCTGGCAACTGGACTTCATCCCAACTTCATCCCATCTAAGGCTCACACACAAAGCGATGAAGCTGCCTTAAACCAAGTTAGACCATTGGCCCATCAAGATCAGTCATGTCCCTTCCTGAAGATGCCAGGGACTGAAACCTGGGTCTTCTGCATGAAAAACATGAGCTCTACCCTGTGGCGGAGGAAGGGGGGGTACAGGGGTGTGGTCCGTCCCGGGTGTCATCACTGAGGGGGGAGTGACAAAATGAGGGTTTTTTTAAATGGGCTCACGGAACTTTTTAGGAGTGATGTGGTGGCTTAGGCCTGCAGGTTCCAAGCTACCTGAAACAGCAGTGTGGGACTTGCGTCTGCCTACTGCCTCTCCCTCAGCAGCCCTACAGCTGAGCGGGAGGCGCTGGAGAGGCTCCAAGCATCGCAGAGGCTCGCCCCACCCCCATGGGCAGATTGCCCCACCCCCATGGGAGCAGATCGCCCCACCCCCCCGGCTGCAGGACACGCCCCCACATCAGGCACCCGAGCGGCTAGCTACGCAACTGGCTCTACCACTGCGCCATTGTCACCTTCAGACAAGTAGATTGCCTATGGTTGCCTGACCCACATGTGAAATGAAGCAAACTTTCTATTATTATTATTCATAAATCAGAAAACACATACTTCTTTCAGCTCCTGGAAATAACAACCAAATCATGAATGAAAGATTAAAAGAAAGCTGCAACCCTAAGCATGATCACTTGAAAGCGAACTCCATCAAAATCAGCTGGATTTATTTCAGAGAACATATACTTGGGATGAGAGCATTAACATGAAACATTATCGCTGTCTCAGAAATCTAACGTGTGGCAAAGCTCACACTGCAAAAGTGTATTTTGTCCCTTCTGTGCAATCTCAATATTTTTTTCTGGTGCCTCCACTTTGACTCATAGTGTGATGGCATTTGTTCATTCAATCCAATGTCTCCCGGACACAATACAAACTGTTTAACACCTCTTTAGAGCAGCAGCTTTGCCAATATATAGAGGCAATGGGGTTATTCAATTAGAGTTCTTACCATGTTGGAGTTATTTAATTTCCATTACCTTGGATGCACAGCAATTCATTTCCCCATTTGTCTGAACTGGGGTCTAATTGATTCCAGCGCCCTTTCAGTGAAACCCTCCCATTAACACACACACACACACACACACACACACAAAAATAGGGTGGGAAGTTAAAACACCACAGGACCTCCCACCCTTTTATTACGGGAGAATAAATGTAACACAACATGAAAGAGGGAGGCAATTGACCTTCCAAGTAAGTAATTTTAGTTCTTACGTATTCACTTGACAGAGCAGAACCACACTTCCATTTTTTAAAATTGACAAATGGTCTGAGAAAATTAGTCTCATCCTTACTGCGTGTCTCCAAACTGAAGTATTTTTTTTTTAAATCTCTGTTATTGGTAATGTAGCAATCCAGAAGCCCAGCAATGGGAGCGGGCAATTAACAGATTTAATTTGCCTGTTGAAATTCTACTGGCAGCTCAGTCTGGATTCTGCAACCATACAGATGACTAGAAGCTGCAACAGTAGGGCTACTTGTAACAATTTGCAACGTGGACAAAGCAAGCCACAACAGGATTCAACCTGTGTTCCACACAAAATTCACTCGTAATCTTTATGAGTGCAGATCACTTGAACTGATAACTGCCGCTCTTCTTTGAAAAATAAATCCTACGCAGTGAGCTCTTTCAGTCAATAAGGCCACATACTTTCCAACTGCTCCACCTTCTCACAATTTTTGCAAGCTGGAATCTTTATGGTCCAAGTGAGGGCAAGACTCCTTATGGCAGGGGGTAGCCAAGATGGTGCCCTCCAGATATTGTTGGACACTCATCATCCCTGGCCATTGGGCCATGCTGAGCAGAGCAGATGGGATCTGAAGCCCATCATAATTGGGGGGGGGGGGGGCGGACCAGAATGGGGAATGCTACCGCTGCATTGTTGAATTTTTCACTTGTACTACAGACAGCAGTAGGCAAGCAGGCTGCAAAGATTAAATTCTGCAAATCTTTTTCTTATGTACCACATAACACATCTGTAGGATAACTACACATCCGGTACTATACCAGCTGCACTGGCTCCCGGTGGAGTACAGGATCAGGTTTAAGGTGCTGGTTTTAACCTTTAAAGCCCTATACGGCCTAGGACCCTTGTACCTACGGGACCGCCTCTCCTGGTATGCCCCACAGAGAAACCTACGGTCTGCAAATAACAACATCCTCAAGGTCCCAGGCCTCAGAGAGGTTAGGCTGGCCTCAACTAGAGCCAGGGCCTTCTCGGCTGCGGCTCCAATCTGGTGGAATGCTCTGTCACAAGAGACTAGGGCCCTGCGGGACCTGACATCTTTCCGCAGGGCCTGCAAGACAGAGCTGTTCCACCAGGCCTTTGGTCAGGGCGCAGCCTGACTCCCTCCTCTGGCAACCTGCACAGAATTTTGCCTAATCGGTTGCCAACAATTTGATTTTAATTAATTTTTATAATGTTTAGAATGTTTTTAGAATTTGACTGTTTGACTATTTGACTGTTGTTAGCCGCCCTGAGCCCGGCTTCGGCTGGGGAGGGCGGGATATAAATAAAATTTATTATTATTATTATTATTATTACTGTGAGATCTGAAATAGCTATGTGTCATGTGCTTAGAGCTCTTAAGTAAAATGAGTGCTACACTGGACTTGTTATACTTCATAAGGAAGCTCACATAGATAAGAGAAAAATCAATTCCTTAATCGAAGAAGAAGAAGAAGAAGAAGAAGAAGAAGAAGAAGAAGTGGTACATGGTTCTCAATGAGTTTCAAATAAACTCTTCAAGAAGGGGAAATAAAGTACAATGGTACCTCTACTTACAAACGCAATCCGTTTTGGGGTGCCGTTCACACCCTGAAAAGTCTGTAAGTAGAGTGCGGGCTACTGCGCGCGCGTGAAGTGCGCAGACCACTTCTGAGCATGTGTGAAGCGCGCAGATCGCTTCTGGATGTGCGCGCACAGCGAACCCGGATGTAAACACTTCTGGGTTTGCCACGTTCGTAACCTGAAAAGCCACAACGTGAAGCAAACGTAACACGAGGTATGACCTAAACAGTGACACTTTACATTGTTGCATGTTACTTAATAAGATGGTGCAACACAAACTATGCACAATGTTCTAAATACAATTATACCGTAGATTTATATAAATGCATGACAGCACTTGCTGTTTTAGCAATGGCCTCTTTCTTAATCACCCCTAGTATAAGAACACACCTTTCCACCTGCTGTGACACACAGTGGTGTCAACTGTTTGGTGACGCTGCCCACCAAAAACCTCAAAAACCTCTCTTTTCCGAGTCAGGTTCTGACTGCATCAGTATATATGTGAACAAGTGATTTGTTTATTTTTGCCCCATGCACTCCTTTAGATTTAACCAAACCTCATTGGCTGACTTGCTATCCAGTTTGGAGAAGCCACTTCAAACCTCTCCACACTTCTGGAAAATCCACCACTGCGAATAGTACTACTGTATGTCATCTTACTAACATTTGGCTACCTGCGCAACTATGAAAGGTTTGCATTGCTGCTTGCAGCACGGAAGCAAGGAGGATGGCATGTTGCTGGCGAAAGTTAGGCACACAAGGTCAGGCACACGTTACAGACAGAGGTCACCTACTTGGCTCTGTGTCCCTCTCTCTCTTTCCTCCCCAAGAGGAGCCAGAGTAAGCAGCCGCTGGTTTAGCAGTTGTCAAGTTTCAAGCCTCTGCCCCCCCCCCCATGTCTTTCAACAACGGCTTGACCTGCAGGTCCAGGACCATCTGTTTTGCCCTGTCTCCGACCTGACCAGCCCAGCTGTGGAAATGCCAATTTGGGGTTGCCAGCTTTGATCTGGCAAAATACTGGGCAGGGCAGGGCAGGTCAAAGTTGGTGGACGGTATTACTATTATTATTATTCCCATTTCTGGGAAAGCTCAGTCAGTACAGCACTAGACTCTTAATCTCAGGGTTATGGGTTTGAGCTCCAAAAGATTCCTGCATTGCTCAATGACCCTTGTGCTCCCTTTCCAAACGGTTCTATGAGTCATGACAATCAATTGCCGCCTAACAGGATGGCCCGCTCTAGAATTTGTCGCACACATACATGAATTTGCGCACCTGTTAAATGCATGACCTTTCACACACACATGCATTTGGAGAAGATCCCCAACTTTGCAAAGAGAGAAAGAAAGAGAGAAAAAGACCTGCAATACAGGACAAAGCTGCTATCAATACAGGACGCAGCATTTTGCATTGAAATACGGGGCAAAACCTGCATTATGCAGGACAGGCTGGGGGGCGACCCTAACTGGGGGCGACCTACTCGCGACAGCGCGCGGCGCGACGAGAGCGGGAACCCCTCGCAGCTTACCCTGTGTTGGGCAGCATGGCCGGGTCCGGAGGAGGAGCGGGGGGGGGTCCTCTGGGCAGGTGGCAAGTAGCAGAGCCCAGGCCCGGGCGGGAAGGCGCCTTGGTGCCTCGCACGGCCGCTCAGGGGGCGCAGCGCCTCGCTCGGAACGCTCAGCGGCGGAGCAAAGGGCGCAACAATCAATCGCGCCAGCTCACTCCGCCCCGCCCTTGTTCCGCGCCCGTTCTAGGACGCCTCGAATCCTCTCTCTATGGTCCCCTCTCTCTTCCGCGAGACGGCGCGCCCGACCGGAAGCCCACCCCTTCGCGGCTTCCGGCTCTTGTTCGGCGCTGCCATAGCAACCACGCCACGCTCATGTTTGCGGCCTGAAGGCTCTGTGTTTGAGAGAGAGATAGAGAGAGAAATGAATTTCGCTTTTCCTGACCTAGTGACCCGTTAGAGTCGGCGCTCTTGCGCCCCCCTACCCTACCCCACACCCCGCAACCGCCATGGAAGGACTCACCGCGCGCCCCTCCCGCTTCCCTTTCCCACCGAAATGGAGGCAGTGAGAGATTTTACTTTCTTGGGCTCCATGATCACTGCAGATGGTGACAGTAGCCACGAAATTAAAAGACGCCTGCTTCTTGGGAGAAAAGCAATGACAAACCTAGACAGCATCTTAAAAAGTAGAGACATCACCTTGCCAACAAAGGTCCGTATAGTGAAAGCTATGGTTTTCCCAGTAGTGATGTATGGAAGTGAGAGCTGGACCATAAAGAAGGCTGATCGCCAAAGAATTGATGCTTTTGAATTATGGTGCTGGAGGAGACTCTTGAGAGTCCCATGGACTGCAAGAAGATCAAACCATTCCTTCCATTCTGAAGGAAATCAGCCCTGAGTGCTCACTGGAAGGACAGATCCTGAAGCTGAGGCTCCAATACTTTGGCCACCTCATGAGAAGAAAATATTCCCTGGAAAAGACCCTGATGTTGGGAAAGATGGAGGGCACAAGGAGAAGGGGACGACAGAGGACGAGATGGTTGGACAGTGTTGTCGAAGCTACGAACATGAGTTTGACCAAACCGTGGGAGGCAGTTGAAGACAGGAGTTCCTGGCATGCTCTGGTCCATGGGGTCATGAGGAGTCGGACACGACTAAACAACAACAACACTGTCAAGCGGAGGAAGGGGGAGGGTCAGTCAGGTGGGCCTTGGAGCACCAGTTGGCGCCGTGTCTGTGGAGATTTCAGTGCCGGATTTACGTATAAGCTAAACAAGCTATAGCTTAGGGCCCCACTCTCTTGGGGCCCCCCAAAAAAATTAAAAGAAAAAACAACCTGGATGTACATTTCCAAAATATAAGATAAAAAACAAATACAATAAAACCTACATACAGCAACAGTGTTTTGTGTTGTGTAGGCTCCTATGATGTAAGTAATGGGCCCCGCCTGCTAGCCTGCTTCCTAAAATATCACTGGTTTGCTCATTTCTATATGTAGGGTCCTACATTCTGCTATTTATAATTATTAGTAGTTTGCATTATATATTTACACCTATTATTATTTCATTTAGGTTTCATTTAGGTTATAACAAGTTTTTAGAGTCTTTGTAAATTGTGTTTCTAAAGGAACTTTTGTTGTTGCCAAATGCCAATGTGTTTGCATTATGAAGTTTGTTATGAGTAAAAAAATCATTTTAAGTTAGAGCTTAACAATTATTTCACTATTAATATACTTCTTAATTGTATTTCAGTTCAACAATTACTCTGATAAAATAAATATTTTGTTATGTGCAAATGGCTTTAGATACCTATTAGGTCCATAAATTACCATATTGCATATATTCAACACAAAAAACAGCAACAATTTGTCGTTGACAAAGGACAGCTGGACATATAAAGGGCTCCATTACCTTCAGTAGATTAGGGCCTCATCAAACCTAAATCCAGCCCTGATTATTATTATTATTATTATTATTATTATTTGTTTAATTTATGTACCACCCTATACCTGGAGGTCTTGGAACAAAATCAAAATATAAAACCACAAAATATATAAGCAAAATAAAAACAACAACCCAATAACTACCCGCCACCGCTCCCAATTGTCTATTTGGATTTTCTTTCCCCCCCACCACCACCACACCACTTTTAAAAAATCATCACAGGGTCCTGCCATTTGGAGCCTCTCTGCGTCCTCAGTATCGCGGCCTGTTACGGTAATTGAATGCTTCTAGCATACTTCTGGGAATGACTTCTCCCCCCACCAAGTTTTGGAAGTTGCTTGGAACTGTTGTAGAAGGGTAGAGCTGGGAGGGGGTCTGAGGGTCATCTAACCCTCCCCCCTGGAGTGCAGGAGGCGTGTTTGCCTAACGGGCTCGAACCCACTGCCCTGAGATTTAAGAGTCTCATGCTCTACTTACTGAGCTGCCTCTGCCGATAAAGGACGCTTGGCCAAGAATATAAGCCACAAAGTGCTGTGCCCGCTTGCATTGGGGCAGAGGCATAGCCAGGATTTATGCTGGGGTGGGGTGGGGGGCCAGGATGCCCATCTGTCATCATTGTCTGGCTATATTTAAAAAAAAATCGGTTGCCATCCGTCTGTCTCAGGAGACAGTGGAGGAGTGCGCTTTGGGAGGTGAAATCTAACTTTTGGATGGCTACAGCGCCTGCTATGACTGTAGAGACCAAGATGGCAGAGACATGTGTTGTTACATAGCTACAAACATAACAAAAGTAGTCATAACCAATAGAATGAAAAATGAAAAAGTACAGTGGTGCCTCGCAAGACGAAAAGAAATCCGTTCACGGCATTCTCTTTCGTCTAGCGTTTTTTTGTCTTGCGAAGCAACCCCATCGAACGGCGAAGCGGATTAGCGCTATTAGCCGGTTTAAGCAGCTATTAAAGGCTTAGCGCTTAGCTGCTAAAAGGTCTATTATGCGGCTTAAGGAAAAGGGGGGAAAGGGGGGAAGAATGGCGAGACTCGCAAAGGACCATTCTTCGTCACTTGCGAAAGCAAGCCCAGAGGGAAATTCGTCTTGCTAAGAGCGCATCGCAAAACGAAAAAGCCCTTTTCAGTTCATAGCCGGGTCTTCCGTCTTGCGAAGGCAATTCTTCAATTGCGTGGGCACCAACTGTGAACACAATTTCAACTTATTTCATTCCAAAATAAAAATACCATAATAATAAATAACATCTAGCAATCAACAGGCAGCAATACTCTGACCCAGCCCCAAGATTTCTGGTTCAAGCAGCCTCAGCTTTTGTAGCTGGAGTCAGGGCCCCGCGCTCCCAGGCCAGGTGCGGAAAGGCCTGCAAGGCAGGGTGCAGGTCTTCCAGGACTCAGCCAAGATGACACCTTAAATGAAAAACAAGTTACAACATCAGAGAGGGACTTTTTTCAAATAATAGAATTCTACAGTTGAGTGTGACTCCAGGGGTCATCTAGTCAAACCCCCTTTGGCAACTTCTCAGTCTCCCACATGAGAGCAATTTGATACAGTTTTGATGTCCTGGGGAACATGATATGGCAACGTCTTGTGTGGGTGGGAGGGATTTTCCATTTCAGTAACAATGAATTGCCCCTCAGATGCTTTCCTTGTGTGCTTGAACCATACAGATAAAGATTTGGATATATAGATATTTAAATAGACATTAAATATAAGACAGCATGAAGTTGCAAGAAGATTGTGTGTGTGTGTGTGTGTGTGTGTGTGTGTAAGGACACTGCTACAGAATCACTGGAAATCTTAAGTTTCATCAGGTGGCTTGGGTAGAATCAGCCTTTGCAAAAGAAGCTGACAAGATCTGAAAATTGTCTACTATCTTTACCCTTTAGTCAGTGGCTTGCTGGACTCTCAAATGCATCCCATCTGTATTCTTAGAAGGAATAGATGTGTTTTTTTCAGTGGACTGCCACGTGAGGTTTTGTTACCATTATATTGTTGCTATTTTATTTTTGATCTGGCTGTTTTCCTTCACTAAATCAAGAGGCATTAACAGAATCTCTCAATTGCTTCTCCAAATAATGGTTTTCAGGCTGAGCAGTGTGCAATTCAGCAATACATTAGTAAAGAAAGGGTGAGGTGATGAGATTGAAAAGATACATCACATTAATATCACTCCCACAGACTTTTGGGAAAGCTGCAAATATTCAAAGTGTAAGAAACACATAATGAACAATTAGCTGCCACACATCACATCAGTGAGTCAGCTGGGCTTAGAACACTTGGCATCAAGTTTTCTTCTCATGCCACTAATCTGCCAGTCTCAAGGGAACAAAGGCTAGAGCAAAGTACAGCAAAAATCTAGATTTGCACCCACCATCAATGATTGTTTTAGCAATATCTGTTACAGCTAGCATAATGTACAAAAACACTGCAGCAGACAGCTTGAAAGTCTGTCAAGGCTCTTTCAAATTGTTGAGACTGATACAAGGAAAATATTGCAGCAGAGCCCATTGTTAACGTTACAAGAAAGAAATATTTTTTTTTATTGGTGAGAGTGATACAGTATCCTCCCAGTGAAATCTAGGAGAGAGAACATCATTCTGGGGCACAAGCAGTGTTTCAGCTGAAATGTCAAAGGAGAATACTGTAGCCCAAAAGATGTATGTGTTGGGGATTCTTGCAATCTTGTCCCCTGACCCATTTTACGCGTTCAAGGAAAATAGCTCAATACTATTAAAAAGAATCCCACAAATAAGTGTCTTTGAAGCTACCACCTTCCATATGTATAAAACATTTAATTAATAAAACCAATAAGAGCCTGTGTGGTCCAGTTGAACAAGGACTAGTAGGCACATTGGATGATCTTATAGAATCATAGAGTTGGAAGGGACCCTACAATGCAGGAATATGCAGCTGTCCCATACAGGAATTTAACCTGCAACCTTGGTGTTATCAGCACCACACTATAATCAATTGTGCCAATTGATAGCGTTCAGTATGACCTACCTCAGATTGCAGTGAAGGCAACTGATAATATATCCTTATAGACTCCTTGCAAGAAGTGTGGGATAGGAACATAACGAATGTTTCAGGATGTAAAACTCAGTTCTTGTCCAGATGAGTGAATGTGTTTTCCAACCATGTATTCTTCTTGTTTGCAAATCTACCGTATACGGGAGTGGGGGCGCCTTTGTACTTGGTAATATCTTGACTTCAAAAAGAAGTAAATATATGTGTTCAGACCCTCCAAATACCCCCATTTTCCAGGGACATCCCTGATTTAGAGAAGCCATCCCAGTTTGTGATTTGATCC